GGACGTATTGCTCGAGATATGAATTGGAAATATCAAAATATGACTAATATTGGATCAACATGGTGAGTAGATATCAATTGACTGTCATTATGTTTCTAGAGAATCTTCAATCATCATTTGCAATATGTGTATCAAGTCCCCATCTCAGTCAAAAGAATTCCATCGGATTTGGTATCTATTCTAAATCAGGATGACATAGGTGCGGTTTTGTGAAGAAAATAGTGGCACATCGTGCGGTATATATGAAATCATGTTTTATGAAAATTTTCATGTGCTAATGGTTGATACATTGCTTGTGATCATTGAGAAATATTATAGGATACTTATAGACATTGTAATCCATAGGATATTCTAGTACAAACTTATGAAACTTTTTCTAAACTCAGTTCGATACAGGGATAGGTGTTGTTCAATTTTCTATAATCAATATTTTTCATCGTTGCTTTCGTCATATCTACAAATGGTCCCTTTTCTTAAGTGTAGATTATTTCTTGATTATATGATATTTCATTGTGTTCAACTCTATACCATAGAACAAGTACGTATCAGTATGAAACTTTCTTAAAAAACACACACTATTGGGTTCTATACGTTTCACATACAACATCTTTCAAAACAACAGGAACCTATTGTCGACTTGCAAGATTGCCTTAGACTAGCGTATTTCACTCTATGAAGGCACTGGTATATTGACGATATTTTAACAATACTCAACAGTCCTATGAAATATTTTCATTGATCAATGATCAGCACAGCATCCCTGATAAACTGATACAAATAACTCCTTCATAAATGGAAAAAGCGTTTTGACTTCTAGACTCCAGAGGAGAATACAGAGATATGGAAAAACTAAATTTTGAATTGAACATGTGATATTTATGCATTCTTATGGAGATCCATGCAAAAATCAAACTTGGATAGTGAGATTCAAAATTTGAAAAAGCAATAATAAAAATAACAGATGTCCTTTTTGTATCTTTTATATTTTCCCCTCCCCTTCAAGCATCTGAAAATCAAAAGTTTGTTTTTCCTCTTTGAGAAAGTTGTTTATAACAGTTTATTAGAGATGTTTTGCTGATTATTGGTATGCAAAGTTTTTAATAGAACCGTTCAGTATTGTTAAAATATCCTCAATGAACCAGCCCTGTCATATAGTAAAATAGATTGTTCCAGAAGACAATCTTGCAAGTTGGTAATGGATCTCTGTTATTCTGAAAGACTGGATATGTGAAAGATATACAGCTCAATAGTGTGCATTTTTTGAGAAAGTTTCACGTTGATACTTACTTGTTCTGTTGCACAGAGTTAAACACACTGAAATATCATACATGCAAGAAGTAGTCTACACCTAAGCAAAAGAATCATTTGATATGACGAAAGCAATGATAAGGCCTATTGATTATAGAAAATTAAAGAGAATTTATACCTGCATCGAATTAAGATTCAAAAAGATTGCATAAGTTTGTCTCACAATATTGGATGAACTACAATATTTATAAGTACCCTCTAATATTTCTCAATGATTATAAGTAGCGTATCAACCATTAGTATATGAAAGTTTTCATAAAACTTGATTTCTTATATACTATTCGAAGCGCCGCACTGTGTTGTACACAGCCATATATATGATGTCCTGGTTTAGGATAGATCACCAACTCTGGTGAGATTCTTTGTTGTTGTCTTCGATCATCCAATTTTCAAAAATATATACAGAAAAGATGCTTATCGTAGTATACACATTGTTGTAAGAATTTAAGTCTGAAATATTGAGGCTACTAAGCGCTAGCCTAGTGTTATAGGATACAACACAGGTATCCATGGTTCTCAAATTTCTTCGTCATTCCTGATGTTAAAATTTCAACTTGCAACAGCTTTTCTAATACAATGAGGAACAAAAATATGAAATACACTTGTAGAACTAACAAATTTTGTCAGACATTCAGCGTCAAATCAAAAACTTTGCTTCTACTGAGTTGTAAAAGAAACTTTTCCTTCATTCTGAGATAAAGCCGAGCTTTCTACTGCTTAAAATAGTGCAGAAATTTGAGACGCATGACAGTAACAAAACAAAATCTCTATTATGAGAAAAATGTTAAAGGAATTGTAATACAGTAATTCAAGACTTTTCCTTCCATAAACTGAGATAAGAAGAACCTTTCAGTAAGTCGTCATAGACGATTGATTAGAATGAATCACATGAAAGCATATAAAAATATATGATAGAGATTTTGGACGATTTTTACATGAAAACACTAAGTTCACTGAAATATTAACGAAAATCACTCAGTTTACTGGAAAACACTTTCTTGAGTACAATAGCTTAGAAAAACTAATATAGTTACTTAAAATTACTTATAAAATCAATAAACTATCGTCTATTCAATAGCAGACAATGTGTTTTATCCAAGAAGTTACAAATTGAAAAATGTATAAAGGAAAAGGGCACATAAAACCTCGAATCATTCTACTAATACTTCTGCGCTCTATATAGTAAAATTATACTTAGAACAATATCACCAGTATAATGCGATATTTCAGCATTCAATTGTATCGGTGCATGCTTTAGTTAAATAGTCTGATGGTCACCGACAAAGGTGCGCCTATTGCTACTGATTATCTCATCACTATATACCAATCTTTAGGAATCTAGACAAAGGTTAAACAATAATGAAACATTGTTGCAGTGTGAATTCAGGAGTCGTGTGTTAAAGCCTCAATCTTCTGTACGATCTATTCGTCCATGATGAATTCACATTGTAACAATGTTTGATTATTGATTGATCTTTCTCTACATTTCTAAAGATCGGTATACAGTGATGAGATAATCAGTGCCAATAGGTGCATCTTTGTGGATGACCTTCAGGCTATTAAGCTCAACAATTAGCCGATAAAATCTAGTATTAGAATGTTGCATTGTAGTGACCCTCGAACTGTGACCAAAATTGACTTTTTCTATGAAGAGAAGCAGTTGGCTTAATGCATTCTGTAAATGTGAGACATGTCTATTTACCATTTCAAATCAATAATTTGGTTCCTTGCAACGTGGCTGAAATTATAACGCTGATACTGTCTCTGATAAATCCAGTATGTGATAAGTGTTCATTTTCTCGGTAATAGTGTGAGACTATTATTATCAAAATAACCTAGACACATATTGTATAAGTTTATTAACTTAGACATATGTACTTGGAACATTTGTAGAAATAAACTTTTACATATACAAGGAAGCATGAATTATAAAGCTTAACCTTGATTCCAAGAGAGTAAACAAATGTAGAAGTAGCAAATTTTTTTAGTACGCTATTTTCTTCCTCGTTGATATCGTAATACCGACAGAAAAAGTACGAATTCAGTCGAAATCTAGTGAATATAGAAAAAAGAATACAATCAAAATGAAAAATTATGTTTATCTATAATGACATTCTGTTTGAAGAAGTTCGATTAAAGTAGCAACAAAAAGACAGGTACATATTGTATAAGGATTTGGTTGGTTTAATTTATTCAATGGATGACTTTTTTTGGCAGAGTTTAGAATTTAGCTAGATATTTATTATATTAAATTCTATCTTATTGTCTTCATCAAGGTATGGAACACCGTATTTTGCACAACGTATAGCAAGTTTAACATTAGATGCTATGATTTATTTATCTGATAATGAATTTACTCGTGTTGAGCGAGAACGAAAATTAGGAACTTTATTATGGCCTGATTGGCATTATGGTGTACTCAGTATGTATGGGACACATTTAGCAGTAAATCATTTATTAGTTTCTGAAAAACTTGATATAAAAAAAGCAGACGAATTATTAGATCAATCAACAACAAATGAAAATCCAGATGATTTAGAAAAAAATCATCGTTTACATTTACATTGTTGGCATACAGATAAAACATTTTCAAAATTTCAATTTAAAGCTGGAAAATATAATCATATACATCCACGTACACTAATTCATGATACATCAGCTCAAGCTTATGTAAGTATAATTAATTAATGTATAAATTTCTTTAATAATTATTGAATTTGAACCCTTTTTAGACTATGAGAATGGCATTAGAGTCTCGATTAATGACACTTGATGAGCTTGGGCAACAATTACGTCTTATTGGTGGTAACAAAACAAAATAATTATTTGTTAGAATGAATATTGTAAAATCAGTTCTGTTTTATTTATTTTTCTAATTTTATCCGGTGAATTTTATCAATCTATGCCTTTCTTTTTCGTTTTACAATAAATTTTGTGAAAATAAAGTGTGGTTTTATATAGAACAGTGAGGAATCTAATGTTAAATCTGTCATATTAAAAACGAGAACCACAATGAAACTAGACGCTCTCTGAGTTTAGCTCACGAGGGAAGTACCCCAAGTGATTAATCATTTTTGAGTTCGAAATTTGTGCATAAGGTAGACCTCAGTAAGGTATGAAAAGCCTTAAAAGGATAAGGGTCCATAGGTCTTCTCTCCAGAATTATAGTCATTTTTTACTGGAATTTTAGCCTAAAGCACTGTATACACTAACAAATCGAATGAAAGTATTTCGACCTAAAATTTTGCCCACAGATAAGTCTACTTATAACTAGAATGCCCTGAAATTTTCAGCTAAAAGAAATGTTTCCTTCACGAGATATCGAATTCCCAAAAATCACACATAATTAATGGCAGATGCGAGCGTCTCATGTCTTTTTGGAAATTTAATATCTCGTGAAGAAAACATATCTTTTAGCTAAACATTTTTCAGGGCATTCTAGTTACAGGTAGACCTATCTGTGGGCAAAATTTTAGGTCGAAATACTTTCATTCGATTTGTTAGTGTATACAGTGCTTTAGGCTAAAATTCCAGTAAAAAATGACTATAATTCTGGAGGGAAGGCCTATGGACCCTTATCCTTTTGGAGTTTTTCATATCTTACTGGGGCATCTACCTTATGCACAAATTTCGAACTCAAAAACGATTAATCACTTGGGGTACTTTCCTCGTTAGTTTCTTTTCTTTTGATAGATGCAGATGAAATTGTGTGACTGAAAAAACAATGACAGCCACCATTAGACATGACTTATTACTTCGGTTAGTATAATCCTGGATTAAAATTACAAAATTTGTCAGGAAAACACAGCCGGAATTCTCAAAAGTGACTACGAATCTGTACGAATCAATATTGCCCACAGTACAGTAATGTGTTTTCTTTATGTAAAGTGCCTTGGACCAATAAAACAGAAGATTAGGGTACTCTGCTATAGTTTCTTCAGTAACTTTATCTCTTCAGGTACTCACACAAGTAGGGTGTGGGTGTGGGTGTTAGATGGGGAAAATACCAATACTCACACCCACACCCACACCCAACATTACGGAAAATTTGATTAAAAAATGAAATTATACGCATGTAGTATTCTAACTTCGAACATACTTGCGGACAGTGTGACCTATAGTCCAAACAAATACCTTCCATTCTCAGATAACTCTTACTGAAACAACCATACCCACACTAATCACATACATGACGCAGGCTTCAAATACATTCTGGTGTATTCCATTACTTCTTACTCGAAATTATTGGAACTTTTGTAATAAAATTTTTGATAATACAACATTATGTCTTCTATTAGCTATGAGACTAATTCGTCACTCTTGACTATAGTTGTACATGCAGAAAAATTATATTTTAACACCTAATCTTAAGCAATTGATAGCTGACCACTTTAGCTTTGGTCGAAACACGTGTCTTGCTAGCTTTTGATTTGATTTTATATTTAAAATCATTTCTACAAGCACACACCCTCAAATGTTAAAAGAATGCTGTGAAAGAATTAACAGTTTGGATGTGGGTGTGAATGTGAGAGTGGGTGTCGGTGAAAAGAAAATCCATCCAAACATACACACTCTTGACTGATTTCTAACGGTCGCTTATGCCTAAGTGTTCAAGTCTATAGTAAAGATTCGAACGATATTACATTGGGAAGCATTGAAATGTGGCATCACCCACAAAAGCTGTGCAGAATCAAATCTTGCATTTACCACAATTAATGCATGGACTAGCATAGATATAGAAGAGAAATCTCAGCAAGAAATACTCGAACCTGTTGCTGATTTTCCTTACATGATAAAATGGCATTTATTTCTTCTTTTGTATCGTTGCATATATTCGATCAATGTCCAATCAGGAGTGAAATAGGACATAATGGAGACTACAAAACTTTATATACTTGTTGTACTACAACTATATAAACTACCTCTTTTGCCAACAATTCTAAAGAATCAAAGGCTTCTTCAGCTATCCTTATACCTTAATATTATATATTCATGAGGACTGATTCATTGAAAACTTAGTTTTTTTATTATATATAAATAGAATATACTTTTATTTTGGATAAGGCAAAGTACAGTAATATTATCTGATTAATTTGAATGTCGTATTTTAAATATTTTAACAAATTTCTCCAAAACATGAAGTGAATGCCTGCTTTTCATTTCCATGGTTTTCGACGTTATTGCACTTAGTGCTGTACCAGTTGAACTACTACGATCTCTGTCACCAAAAGAAACTTCTTCGCTATTCTTAGGTGTTAAGTCGTCTCCAGTTGCAATTATCATAACAAATATTTTTTTTATTTCTGTAATATCAATACGATGTTCTATTGTTTGATGAAGCGTTTCATCATACATTTTTGAATATTCTAATTTAACTTCACTTAAATCTTTGCATTCATGACCAATAATAGTTCGTATTAATGTTGTATAATCAATTGGTTTTTTATCTAGCGCTTGCCGAAGTATTTTAGCATGATAACCAGATGGTGATCGTGTATATTCAACTATACGAACCTTTTAGAAATCACATGATCAGTTAGACAAGACAATATCTTCAAAATTGCACTAATTATGGCAGGAGGGAGGACGTGTCTATGTGAGTTTGGGTCTTCTTTTCAAGTAAGCTGATACCCACACCTACATTCAAGAATACATGTTGCATACATTATCTGTTGAAAAAAGTCCATGCCTTGAAAGTTCCGTACTTCGGCGAGATGTAGCCCACAAGTTCTGAAATTTTTCATACGCACTGGTCTTAATGACATTTTTGTGTGGCCAAAGTATCAGGTAAGCATTGGACAATATGATCGTGTTGCAAATGTCGGGTCCTAGGGTGAAAATTCACTAAAAAAGTTCGATCTAATCAGAAAATGCCATCGGTGCAGACCCTTGTCAGAATATACATAGGTTCCCAGGATCTATAAGATGTAATACTAAGTTTCGACGAAAAAGTTCTCTGACACCTATAAATATATCCTTGTGTGTCTTCTATTAGAAAAGAGTCTTTAATACTAAGACAAAGAGTTTAGACCAGGAAGAGATAGCGTATTCTGTACTTTATGTTACTTCGCGTTATTTTGATCTACTCTGAAAGCTATTTCTACGTACTTTTCAAGCATTTTCTACAATGTCCAAGTACGTCGTTTCTCTCTAGATTTTACATAACAATCCTCTAACATTAGGCGGCTGTTATAAGAAAATTTAAACAGTTTTAGTTACCTCTAATAGAATTTTACCTGGCTGACACAACTGAATTATAAAATAATTCTCTTTTTATTAAGTTCTATTAATAGTTACGGTAGGGTCTATCAGAGCGTCGGGTGTGGGTGTAGGTGAAGGTGAGAATGAAGACACACTCACACTCTTGATAACAGTGTTAGACACTTATAGATCTTGACAGACCCTGGCAGATTTTTCAAATAAGTCTCTTATGCAACACGTGGAGAATTTAAACATTTTGTAATTCATTGGTGTCATGAAGTCTAGAATTGCAAATTTTCTTTTCGCTAAGTTCAATACCAGATTTAGTCATTTCTCTGTTAAAAATTTGAGAAAATTTAACTTCGTGTAAAACTAAAAAGCTTCATTAGATATATCCATT